CAACAAAGTCTCTTGAAAAAAAGAACTCCAAACTCCGGAGGAACTTGGTCCTCAACAATGTCAAATTGTGGCTCAGGAGAAGCCTCTCTAGCTCGACCTCTGGCTGGTGCTGCTCTACAGGCACGACCTCTAACGGGTGCTACTCTACGAGAACGACCTCTAGCTCGGGTCCTACCTCTATCCCTAGTTTGGGCCTCAATAACAGGCTCGGGGACTGCCTCCCCTCTACTAGTGGAAACAGAAGCTCTGGTCTTCGGCATCTGCCAGAACAAAACGCAGAAACTCAACACTAGCGAAGGTAACCACACATGAAAATAATGAATGAATAAAAGGAAGTTTTCTAACAATCTTTGTAGCCTCTTGAAGATAAGTATAGACGTCTACGTACTGATCCTCAAGACTCTACTTAGACTTGACTTGTACACACGTGAGACCTATGAACCTAGGGCTCTGATACCATTTGTCACGACCCAAAAACGGACATGATGACACATGTCTTGGTGGGAATAGAGAAGTGTCATCACGTCCATTTTTGAGTCGTGACAATGTATTAGAGGAAATGAAAAATTAAAGAAAACAACAAAATACATAATTTTTACTCTATTTTGCATCTATGTATGCATATATCTATAGATCATATGAATTATTTATAACTTCATTTGTAAAGGCTTTATAAATTCTTTATTCTTCATAAATTTGAATTATTATAAAATAAATATGGATTATGAAAGGTTATAACGACAATACTCATTGATGAGATTATTTTTTCATTAATTTATGAATATTATATTAATTAATTGATCCAAAAATTTAGCTAAAAATTCAAAAAAATTACAAAAAAGACAAATAGAATCTTAACCAAAAAGAGAGGTGCCACATCACTTTTCTTTTATCTAGTTTATATATATATTACACCAAACAATACATTACACAAAATATAAAGGGTAAAAATGCAAGTTAAACTAATGTGTTTTATATTTTTTAAACTCGATTAAAGACTTTATATATAGTAAAGAATTCAATAAAATTTATAATATTTCATTAAGACAATATTTTATTTTCATTTACATATGATAAATATAATAGTGTGTTCCATATCTCTAATATATAGTGTAAATGAAATAAATTATAGGTATTTAATTGTAATCTACATAACTTTTTCTCTATAAGCATAAATGACATATATATTTTAACAAAAAGAAAAGCACAGAAAATTTAACATTGAATCTGAAAATCACTTACGAGTATCACCTCTATCAATACTTTACAAAAAAAAATAGTATAAAAAATTCTATCCTTGATATTATAATCTTCAGGAAATATTTACATTCCAAACATCTTCGGAAGATATATCTCTTTTATTTACATCACTTAAAATATAAATTATAGTATAAAAATTACCGACATTGTGTAAACAAACATAAATATGTCTTTCTTTCATTGTAATACATCCATCTTGATAAAAAAATATTTCCCTTCAAAACATTCACTCCCTTTCTATCTGTTTTTCAACATATCATGACGTCTTCAATTCAAATGCAATGGTAATGCCATTATCCCCAACAATTTTAAGAAGATCAACATAATATTCTATGACTATGGCTACAAGGAAAAAAAAAACTAAAATAAGAAAAAATAATAATAAACAATGACGAGTAAATAATTCTTAACTAGAGAGAAATGTCATACTCAAGTAAAAGATCACATAAACTTTGCAAATTCAATTGCCCTTCTAAGTGATTTTAAATAGTAAAACTTACGTAAAGAAATGTGAAAATAATAAAATTATTAGAAATATTTGAGCAAATGAATAAAACAGAATCATCAATTTCTTACTTAATTATCATGACCCTTAATCTTTGTCAGTTACTTCACAAAGTAAAAGATCTTAAATAAGGGATGCAAAAATTTTAATTAAAGAAGATTCGGGGTAAAAATAAGTCGATAGACTTATCATAATTTTGAGTATCATACAGTTTTGTGCAATATTAATGCAAAGTATATAGTTGGTTGTAATGACATATGATCTGTTGTTATTCTAGGGGCACCTCATGTGGAGTCCTGAAATCTTTTGAAGTATGTCGACAATTTAAAATTGGGGTGACACAACAAAATCGCAAAATTTAAAAGTTGACCCGGGCTAACGTCATCCCATCATAGTAGAAACATTTCCGCTATGGCGGCAGGTCAGTCGCTATAGCGAGGTAGGCAGGGGGTAATTCTCGAAAAACACAATTTCTTTTAATTGACCTCACCTATTTCAGTGGTGAAATAGGTTAGGGATATTTCAGAAATTCTGCTAGGCCACTTTAAACTTGAGAACAATGGAGGGGGGAATTTCAGTGCAAGGAAGGTCAACACCCATGAAATTCCGGTCTACGTTCGTTAGGAATCGCCCCACGGAGCCATATAATTTGGTTTAAAGTTATTCAACAATAGTTTAACGTCCAGATATACTATATTTTTCTTAACTCAATTGTATACATGTTTTTACTTATATTGTGTCCTGTGGTTTGTCGGATATTGCATTATAGGCCTTCGGATATGAAATCTGGATGATTGAATGTATGGTTAGTTGTCTTTAAGGCTGAGGATGGATTGACTTTGTTAATGTTAATCTTGTAGTGATTGTTTGATGTTATCCTGGAAAAGGTAATTATGAGTGATCAGATTATACCAAGATGAAATTCTTTTGGGTAGGTGATGGTTGTTTATTTTCCAAGTTATGAGATGTTTACATGCAAGGGCGGACCCACCCTTATCGAGGGGTGTCAAGCGACACCCCTTTGTCAGAAAATTACTTAGTATATATATATTTCAAGTTATATATATATATAAAGTGTTGAGAACTCTTAATATAAGTTAAATGTTTTGTCTAGTGATTAAGGTGTTTTGAAACCTCACTTGAGGTCATGTGTTCTAATCCTACTAGCCGTATAGTTACATTTTTTTACTACAACCATTGACACCCCTCAATGGACTTCATCTTCTTTCTCAAGAAGAATAACTATTTTTATTTTCCTAAAAAAAATTAATATAATTTATTCTTGACTTTGTCCTCTAGTTCTAACATATTTATCTTATCTTTCTTTTTAGGGATAATGCTGTAAAAAATGCTACATGATATGGTAATTCGATATATACCATATCCATGGACAAATTTACGTAGGTCCAAGGGGTGTCATGTGACATTGCTTCGTCGGAAAAATTTACTAAATATACATATATAACTAAAGGCAAAAAAAATAAAAGCAAATACATTATATACAATGACACTTCATAACACAAGCGTACACTCAACTTAGTTGGTCAGGCACCTTAGTTCTAAGCTAGAGGTCACTCGTTCAATTCATGAACTTGTCATTCTTTTTACACATTTGATGTCTTAGTTCTAAGGTAGAGGTCATGTGTTCAATTCTTGAACTTGTCATTCTTTTTATACATTTGATGTTCTTCATTCACCCTTCTTATAAGCTTATTTTTTGTGTTTTTTTTCTTTCACCTTCTTTTTCACCAATAAAATTAATTAAGAACAATGTATGAAACATTTAATATTATTAATTTAATACATTTCGAAATAAAAAAATACTCATGCATTTTTTTAATAATTTTTAAAAAATATTTCTTTTTAGAAAAGGTATAGTAATGGGTGCAAATTGTACTTTATTCATATTTTGTTCTTTTTTTTCAAAATTAAATATGACTCACATAGTTTTATTTATTGTTTTTCATTTTAAAAGGTGACACCCCTTACAAAAAATTTTGCGTACGCCGCTGACCATATCATGGTCACCCCTAATTAAGACTATGTTTCGTAGCTGATAATGATGTAAATTATCATTGTAAAAAATTAATACGGTGTTGGCTATCAACATGATTTATGGTGCAATAACGAAACTGCTCCACTCTTAACCAAAGGACTCGTATTCAAGCCTTGGGTATGGAAAAATCTGTTGGGAGTGTCACCCCCAAATGAATCGTAGTGCACAATTCAAATTTGAGTTTTTGGCTAAAATCATCCCTGAAGTATAACCTAAACCTAAAGTACATCCTTGTGTTATATAACTGAACAAAAAACATCCTTACACTATTCAAAAAGTTGCAATATTCATCCTTCTGTCTATTTTTTTAAGAAACTCACGCCACCAACAAAAAATATGTCAAGTCAAATGAATATATGTACACATGATTAAGCTAGTCAAGTTGGGTGATTTTTTTTAATTTTTAGAAATTGAGGGTTTAAATCATATTCAGACAAAATATATTCAAATTCTAAATATTCTTTGTAAAAATACAACTCCAACTTCAAAATTTTCAAATAAAGTAATTATTATTTAATTTTCACAACAAAACGCCTACATAATTTCACTAAATTTCCAGTATTTTTATATATTGTATAAAATGTGAATTGCATTGTATATACGTACTATATATATTTTTTATTAAAGAGAATCTCTAAATAGTTGCACATAATATTTTTAAAATGATTTTTTTTGCATAGTCTTTCTAACCATCGGAACCTACTATATAAATATTTCAAAAACTTATGTATTGTTGCAAGACAATTTACTTGATGATGCAAAAAACATATAAACTAACAACACACAAAATTTAAATTATGAGAATAAAATATTAATTTTCTATTCATATCCTTATTCTTTTTAGGTAACATTGATCTTCTCGTCGTGGCTAAGACATGACCAAATTAAAAAATATATATTTTTATTAGTTCAATCAGTTTCTTAACAAAAATGGATTGAAGGATGATTCTTGTTATTTTTTGGATAGTATAAAGATGTTTTTTGCCCACTTAGATAATATAAGGATGTACATTAGATTTGAGTCATAGTTGAGGGATGATTTTAGCCAAAAACTCATTCAAATTTAGGCACAACTTTATTACGAGCACTAAATACTAGAAAGAGAATAAAAATATATGATATTTGGCTTAGTCATGTGAATTTCTAAATTATAAAATAGTTAGTGAAATAATTAATAAGATCCAAATATTGATTTTCTGAAATTTTGAAGAAGCAGCTTCCGATACTGGTTTTCCGAATTTCCTGGTAGCTTCCAACACCATTTTTCTCTCTCTCCCATTAACATACATACATACAAATCTTTAGATGTAAACAAGTGCTTTGTTGGGTTGAGTGAGTCACATGTGTAAGAGAGTATGTGAGAGAGAAAGTATCGGAGTAATTTAAGGGTTAAATGAATGAGAACCGACCCGCCTTCCCTTCTTTCTCTCGCTATTGACTCTGCCCTTCTTCATATCTCATCCTATTCTGATCTCTCTTTCTTACCTGAACACATTCTTGAAGACCTTTTCCTGGTAACACACTCTCTTCTTTTTATGGGTTTTTTCTTCTTCTGATTATCAAGTATGATTATGGGTTTCTCTCTTTATCTAACTTGATTGTGCTATGATCGGATTCTTGGAATTTCTTTTCTTATATCGTGTGATGTATCTATCCAGACTGAACAGAGAAAGAAAGTGGGGGGTTTTTATGTTTAATTTTGTACTTGGGTAATTTTATCTGACTTTTTTTTTTTTTTTTTTTTTTTTTTTTTTTTTTTTTTTTTTTTTTAGCTTAACCTTAGTTCACTTATTTTGTTATAAATATAGGATGATCTTAATTCAGCAATTTGTTGTTTAGACTTTGTTATGTAAGAGTAGGAGATTGATCCCTTCTGCATTTAGGATTTTGTTTTTTTGTAGCTAGTGCACTTGTTGTGTATCTTTTAATTTTGGGGCATGTTTTAATCTTTTTGGATTTATGAGTATACTTGTGTAAATTTTCTGTGATGGGATCTGGTTTCTGCATTTTTTGGGTTTTCCTTTCATGGGTTTCCCTTGCTATTTAGTTGTATGTGGTGTTCAATTATCATCAGTGCTGAAAGGATTTTTGCCTGTCTTTCGTGTGGTCGATTTGTAAAGACTTTTTGAGTTATTTCAGTTTGACTGTTAGTATGTGATGTATCTATCCAGACTGAAGGGAGAAAGGAAGTGGGGTTTTTATGTTTAAGCTTGAACTTGGGTAATTTTATCTGACTTTTTTTGCTGAACAAGATAATGTTAATTCACTTATTTTGTTTTGAAGAAGATGATGATCTTAATTCAGCAATTTGTTGTTCATACTTTGGTAAGAGGAGGAGAATAATCCTTTATGCATTTTGACCTAGTCCTGTACAGCCGGATTATTAAATACTGGGTCATGATAACTAATTTTGTAATTTTGTTGAGTCGTATCTTTTTCATGTAAGCATGAGTAGGTGCTTTTTCATTCACAACATCATAAACATTAAGTACAAAAAGTCCCGAGTTACAATAGCCTTTCACCACAAACACATTATTTTTTGTCAGTATGATCTTATCAAATTCAAATGACACTTCCACTCTAGATTTATTAAGCAAGGCTACGGGAATCAGGTTTGCCACATCGTAGGAACATGTAGCACATCCATAAAGGCTAAAGTTTTTCCCAAAGTGAGCTTTAGGAGTACTTTATCCTTACCCAAGACTTTAGTAGTTCTTGAGTCCCCAAGGTAGACCATGTCATTATCATCTCCTATTAATTTATAGGAGGCAAATGCTTCTCGATTTGCACAAATGTGCCGAGTAGCCTCAGTGTCTACTCCCATCCCTTTATATGTGCTACAATGTTTACTTGAGAAATGACAACTGCAATAATTTCATCTCCTTCAGCTAAATTATCCTTTAGGAGATAATTTTTTTCTTTGTAATTTTTTGTTCTCTTCCTTCATTGTGCAATATGTTGACTTGATTTTCCACAAGTAAAATAAGAGCCTTTCTTTTACTTAATATTGGGAATATAAGACTTGTAACCTTGAGACTTAATACCATACCTTTTGTTATCGATGCTTTGACCTTATATTAAGTTTGCCTTGAATGCCAACTCCTTTGCTTTGAATGTCTCCTTTTTGTTGGTGGCTTCAATTAGAGTGTGAGTCACAATTTCCTCAATAGTGAAATTTGTCGTCTTATGCTTTAAGTTATTTTTGTAATCATTCCATGAGTCGGACAATTTTTCAATCAACCAACAACAAATATTTCTGGTAGAGTGATCCCCTCGACCTTCAAGTCTTCAAACAATTTTTGATATTCATTGATTTGAATTTTCATCTCCTTCTCGTTACTCATTTGCCATTGATAAAATCTCTCGACCACAAAATTTGTTTGGTAGCAGCTTCATCAATGAACTTTTTAATTAAGGCTTCCTAAATAACTTTTGCTTCTTTGCAGTTACAGTATACTGCAGTTCGTTAGATATAATTTGTAATATGGTATGACGACATACCTTATTGGCATATTGCCATGATTCCAGAATTTTGTTATCAACGTTTGCACCAAGTTGTGGATGTAATAATGCATGTGCAATACCATGAACATAGAACAATGAAAAAACTTGTTCTTGTGACCTTTTGAAATTTTCATTAGCGAAAATTTCAATATTTGACACGTTCGAAAATGGTTTGACATATGGTCAATCGGAATTGGAGAAATAGGATTAGTACCGACATTGATAGTGTCAGAAATAGTTTTTGAAGTAGTATTAAGCAAGTCGAGTCCTCTATTTTAAAATTGTTTTAAAATAAATGGGGAATTGTAGGATATTTTAAAATTATTTGAGCAAAGTTGAGCAAGTCGAGTCCTCTATTTCAAAATTAACACTAACCCTCCCGATCTTGCTAGCCGGGGGCTCAGTCTTTCAAAATTCAATCTTTCCCCTTCCAGTCCCAGGGAATCGCTCTTATAGTAGGAGGTTTACTATGTCCCCAACTTCTCTTTATTAAGAAAGTAGGTTGTCTACTATAATTAGATTAAGATCGTAAAAACAGAAGCTTGTAATATAGCTAGACCAAATTCAATAAATGGAGTCCGGTAATAACATTATGAGCTTTTTCGCCTTTGCTCCTTCTTTCCGGAGCGCACTAACGGAAAACTCTCTTGTGCCATTAGCGAATCCCTTTAGAGGAGTCGCCCGAATTATTTGAGCAAAGTTGAGCAAGTCGAGTCCTCTATTTCAAAATTATTTGAAAATATATTGGGGATTGTAGGATATTTTAAAATTATTTGAGCAAAGTTGAGCTCATCTAAAGTGTGGACTTGGTGGTCAAGTTATTGCATATGACTTCAACACTTATGTCATCCAGTTAATGACAAGTGCTCATATGTCATCACTTGATGACCAAGCATTAGGCTACAGCAACATGTATGCAAATAAAACACTGCCCACTTAGTCTCTTTCCATGTTAAAAGCTATTTATCAAACATGTACAGACATGGTCATAGTTGTGTCACTGCTCCAATTTATCAGCTATGACCAAGTAACAGGAAGTTATACCTGAACCGGACAACCAACTTTCAGCTCCAACTGTAGTATTAGTTGACTTGTTCTGGATAAATTTTGGAGCATTTTTTTTTTGATGAAGTAACATTTGTATATTGACCAAAACAACACATAGGTTGTGCTGAAACCATACTTGCAAGGTAAAGGAAGAACAGCTGATCAAAACCTAGCAGAATCCTAGGATATCTATGATCAACTAGTATCTTCTATGTAGATTTGTCTACACCAGAAACAGAAGTCTAATGCAATTCAATTTGATTTTTTGTACTGAACTGCTATTCAGAACATTTGGAATTCCTTTCTTTCCGGATTGTCCACTATATCCAAGCTGGGACAATCCTTCTTCTATCCTTGTTTACAACTCCTGCTCAGCCTCCTCCCAACAAAGGAGAACCTCAGTTATCTTCCTGGGCATTGTTCGTGCTATACCTTTGATGTTGGTAAAAATCCTCCATAGCTGATCTGTAACCTTGCAACATAAGAATAGATGGCTGATTGTCTCAAGTTCTTCCCCTCAAAGAAAGCATCTTGAACAAAGGAGGATCTTTCTCCTGTTAAGATTATCTTGGGTCAAAGCAGCTTCATGTGCTAATAACCATGTGAAACAAGAGACCTTGAAAGATATTTTCACTTTTCAAATGTGTTTCCAGGACCAATGAGCTATCTGTTGATTGTCTTGATTCAACAACGTGTAAGCTGAACTTACTTTAAAGAGTCCCGTACTGTCTTCTTTCTAGCATAAACAATCTGTACCCTCTGTAAACTTTAAACTTTTGAAATCTTCTAGCTTTTGTAAAACTCAGTCAATGTATCCACTTATCAGTCATTTAAATTCCTTCTGAGTAATATGTTCCACCTCTGCGAGGACCATGCATCTGCTACTGTCATCTGATGTTGCATAGCCTTTAAGGGGTAAATCTATCGGACACCCCCTACCCAACCAATCATCTTCCCAAAATGATGTTTTGTACTCATTGTTCACCTTTATGGAGGTGTGATTCCTCATAAAAAGGCACAATAATCTTATAGATCTCCACAAACTGACTCCAAAAGGAGAGTGCACTTCATTAGTCATTAGGGAAAGTTTCCATGATATGATCAATTATCTCCCAACATTTGATAAGAAACCCATTGTGTAGCCATCTTGGCCAGGAGCTTTATCCATGGCACACATCTTCATCTTCAGGCAAGTAAGCACCTCATGTTCCTCAAAGACACCCTGTAGTGATTCTCTCTTCTTCAGAATTGGTAGGGCTGTTGATAAGATTGCTTAGACTGTTGGCAGATCTCCATTCAATAATTTCAGAATAGAAATTTTGCTAGAATTCAGTGATCACTCTTTTAATTCCTTCTGGTTCCTCCATTTTTACATCTCGTATCACTAATTGACTTATCTGATTGCTTCTCTTGTGTGCATTGGTCACTTTATGGAAGTTTTGTCACCTTGAAGCCAACAGAGCTCTAGATCTTTGTCTTCATGTTTTTTCTTCATTTTTGATGTGTTCATCATACTCCATCAGAACGGTGGCTTGATTCCTCATTTGACAGTGGTCTATTATGTTGGACAACATCTATTGTAGCAAGTTGATTCAAAATCTGAGCCTTTGAAATCCCAAGTTCCCTGGAATTTACTGCTTCTACTCCATTCCTTTAGCTTGCCTTTAAGTGCTTTGAGCTTGCAAGCCAGAATATAATCAGGCTTGCCTGCAAACTCAAAAGAGGTTCACCATTCTCTAATGCTGTCCACAAAACTTTTAGTGTTCAATCACCAATTCTCAAATTTGAAGTAGGATTTGTTCTGTTCCCAGGCACCACATTGCAGTGATATATGGATGTGATCAGATTCAATTCTTTGTAGAAGTTATGTGATATTACTGAATCTATCATCCCACTCTTTTGAAAAAAAAGTAATCTGTCAATTCTTGAAGCAATCATATGATTATCACCCTTGAACCAGGTGAAGGGCCCCCTTCCAGTTGGGGTTCTATGAATGTCATATCCTCTATAAAATTTGAGTTCACCATAGTTGGAAATCTCCTGCTACTTTTCTGAAGGAAATCTTGGGATGTTGAAGTCCCACAAACAGCCAAAGGTCACCCATCAAGCCCCTAACTGCTCCTATCTCTTTTTGGGAGTAGGGGCATCAAAGCTTGCCCAACCTAGTAAAGGGGCTTTGGGGATAGAGGGGTTTCTGGGGGAGAGAAAGTTTCCAGGTTGGATTTTTGTAGATCAAATAGTACTAGTTGGGTAGATAGAGGTGGTGAAATCTAACCTTTGCATCGATCTTCTTTAGCAGGGCGGGTCGCTTGAGTGTCAAAACCAAGCCAAGCGGTGGTTGTTTTTCCTTGGCTTATCGAACCAGCGTATGCCCATTCCTCCTTTGATGACTCCCAGTAGAGAAAGCCTCAATTTTCCGATGTGGATTGAAAGGAAATTGGGGATGGACATAGACCCTTCCGCCTATCCGGAGTGTTGGAAATATAGCAATGTTTTTTGGTGCATATACCCCTGACACTCAAAATCTTGAAAGTGTGCCTCAAACTTGCAAGTTAAGGTATACGGACCAATTTGAAAAGAGGTCCCTCTCCAAATTCCATTATCCCATAACATCAATATACCCCCTCTGGTACCATTAGCTTCTAGGCATTCAAATCTCACCCATCTAACCTCCCCAAATCTCTTTTATGCTCTCCCTTACACCACCTTCTAATTTTGTTTCCTGAAGACAAATGATGTCAACATTCAATTTGTGTGTCAAGCTCTTTACAACTCTTCTTTTATCCATATTGTTTTTCTTGAAACGGGTGACTATGTATTTCTCAGGGAGACCATCAAAAGTGTTGGTTACAAGAAAAAAGAGAAAAAGAAACACTTACAGGGATATTCATAATTCTACAAAATGGTCTAAATTCTCTAGTCACATTTCTTTACACCAAAAGTAGAAAGATACTATATAATTTCATTTTACTTTTTAAATGGAGTTGAATCTATCTTCGAAACATTTCCCATTTCTTTCTCTCCAAACTGTTCACCAGATACACTGTGGGATTATCCTCCACAACTTCTTCTTACTCTTGTTTCCGCCTCATTTTATCCAACAACTTAGCAAGTCTGCTGTATGTTCAATGCATAGTCCATCTTGTCTCGGTTAGGTTTAGAAATAAGGACCAAATCTGTGCAGTGAATTTGCTATGTAGAAATAGATGATTGTTGGTTTCATCTGTTCCCTTGCACAAGAAACATCTGGAGACTGATGGCTCGTTTTCTCTTCAAAACTTCATGTGTCAAACAGACTCTCTTAGCCACCGACCAAGTGAAGCATTTTACTATGGTTGGGATGGGGCATTTCCATATGTCTCTTCATAATTTTGGCTGCTCTCCATTCTGCACCATGCATTCCTTTCTAAATGCCCTGTTTAAAGTGAATTCTCCATCTTTATTCTGTCGCCATCTCAAGATGTCTGGTTCAGAATTGGTCCCATTGAAATCACCAATCCTACCTAACAAGTTAGCCATCCTTTCAATCTCCCATTCATTCAGCAATCTCCGACAGTTAAAGTTCCAGTGCACTCCACACTTCATAAGGTCTCCATCAGTGGTAATGTCTCCTTCCAAGCTTCCTTGAAGAATTTTATTCTTTTTACATCTCCTACTATCATCTGTTAGTTTCTTCCAGCTTGGGCAATAGAGCTGTAATTGTCTTCCATACTCCCACCCCATAAGTACTAGTGCTCACAACTGTACACCATGGTTCCATTCTCCAACCCCATAAGTACTAGTGCTCACAAATGTACACCATGGATTGGGTTCATCAAGCCAAGCGCTGGCCGGCAAGAATCGCCGGGGAATAGCTATTTAGTTATACTGAATTTTGATGTGTTGGGTTTGGCATTCTCTCAAAATAGAGAAAGAAAGAATTTTTTTTTCCATCTTTGCCCTAGAAAGGCAGAACTCAAACAGTGATCCAATAAAAGAAATCAGTTATCATCTGCACGGACAAGCTATGAGCTGTTGCAGAGTTACTTTCTTTTAATCTATATGAGTAGAAGTAGGCATGTTAATGCATGAATCAAACGATGAGTAAGGTCTTTTTTTTTTTTTGGTGTAGCTGATGTTTCTGAATTCTGAACTAGGCGAGTTTGTTACATGATTTATCCTTCTGCAGTTACTTGGCCATAGTTGTGTCACTTTTCTACCTATTCTTTACATGTTAGAACTTCAACCTGTAAATCTGTGGCAGGTCATCTTTATGTATTCCAAGTGGTATTCACCAAGCAAAATTAGCAGGCATATCTCACACCTGCACTTCTTGTTGCATCTTAACAATATGACACTGTCTGAACTTCTACAACATATAGACTGTAGACTATACCAATATACTAGCTGTGGACTATTAATGCAGTTACTGCTCCATATGTTCACTATTAAAATTATGAAACTCCCCAACGAGAACTGGAAAACCTCCCTTGGGCAGATCTAATGATGACAAACTCTGTAAATTTTTGTGAAGATCCATATACTCAATCATGTTGGAGTAGGTTCACATGTGATAACAGTCTTAATTTTCTGTTCTTGGCAGAGGACCTTGAGAGCTGGGAAGCTAAATGAGAAGATTTTGAAGCTGTTTATTGCAACTGGAAAAGAAGAAATCCTTTCGCTAATTGGCGCATTTAACATCCAATGTGTTCTTACTCCTGTGCTTCCTACTAGTAAGTGTTTTTTAAAAAATCCTTCTGTAGTGCATTATGATTCATGATGTAATCTTTATAACTACTTTATTTCAGGATGCTCTGAGAAATTCTAATATTGTTTGGTAGCAAGCAATTTTTGCAAAAGGCTCTCTCCATTCTCAAGGCAACAAATCCTGTTCTTGCTTTTGCTTATTTTAGCCTTGAAAAATGTCTCAAGTCAGCGTCAGAGATGATGAGGTAGATATTGTGATAGCTGCAATTGAACCAGATCTTACTTCTTTTCTGGAAGAATGGAGAGCAATATTCTCCCGATTTCACCTGATTATTATCAAAGATCCTGACGTCAAAGGAGAACTTAAAATTCCAGGTGGATTTAATTATGATACCTATACAAAAGCTGATATTCAACAAATTATTGGACCTTCAAATGCTGCAACTTTCTCTGGCTACTCGTGCCGATATTTTGGCTATCTCTTGTCAAAGAAGAAATATATCATCTCAATTGATGATGACTGCATTCCAGCTAAGGATACTAAGGGTATCCAAGTCGATGCCATCGCACAACATATCAATAACCTCTTGACTCCTGCCACCCCATTTTTCTTTAATACCCTCTATGATCCTTTCTGTAAAGGAGCTGATTTTGTTCGTGGCTACCCATTTAGCTTGCGAAGTGGTGTCTCGTGTGCTCTATCATGTGGACTGTGGCTTAATTTAGCAGATCTTGATGCACCTACACAAGCCCTCAAGCCGGAGCTGAGAAACACTCGATATGTTGATGCTGTCCTCACTGTACCAGCTAGGGCCATGATGCCTCTGAGCGGAATCAATATAGCGTTTGATCGCGAATTGGTGGGACCTGCTTTGCTGCCATCTTTCAAGTTGGCAAAGGAAGGAAAGTTCAGGTGGGAAACTGTGGAGGATGTATGGACTGGAATGTGTGTTAAGGTAGTATGTGATCACTTAGGATATGGTTTGAAAACTGGGCTTCCATATGTGTGGAGGAAAGAAAGAGGTGATGCCATAGAGAGTTTGAAGAAAGAGTGGGAAGGGGTGAAGCTGATGGAAGAAGTTGTTCCATTCTTCCAATCAATGAAATTGACCCCGGCAGCAAAAACAGCTGAAGATTGTGTGATTGAGATTGCAGCAGCCGTGAAGGAGCAGCTGGGACGAATAGATCCTGTGTTCACCCGTGCAGCTGATTCCATGGTCGAGTGGGTGCAGCTGTGGAAGACTGTCAAAACCCGAACATAATTCAGTCTTGTTTGGGGGGTGAAGTTCCATATTATTTATTTTCTTCTAGATCCTTACAAAAGGCATGTACATTTCATCCAGACGGTTCTCTTAAAACCGATGCATAATATAGACAAGGTTTTGTTTTCAACTGTTACCTAGGGTGACCAAGACTTGATAATAATGTTTGGTGTTTTTTCTTGATTTACGTTCTGTCTTTCTAAATGTTTGGTTCATTTTATGTAAGTGAGACTCAACAGGAAAGGGGAAATAAATGGTGTAATGCTTGCTGCTTCTGTTTCCTTAGTAGAATTGTTGTTAGTTCTAATCCACAAATATGCTGTGTAAAAATTCAAATCGGTTTTGATGGAATGCAGAGCCAGACCACAGATGAAATGTGTTTGTCTAATTAGTTGGGGAAAAAGAAAAATATAATTCTCAAAATTTTGTGTTTTTTTGTAAGTTTGAAGAAAAGCATTATTTACAATTTATGTTGTTAGATTTCGTCTGAAACTCAACCCTACCAAATGTGTGCCCGACATTTTGATTGAATCGGTATGAAAGGAAACAAATTTAAAAGTTCTCTCCTATTCTAGTGAAAAAATTGTTTTTCACCATGTATATTTCAGTTCGATAAAAAATGAGTGAGAAAACTATGTTTGATAAACACAATTTTTTCATTAATCCATAGTGGAAAAACCTTTATTTCTAATAATATTTTTTAAAATAGAATTATTTGAAGCAGCATAAATAGAAGGAAAAATTACCCAAATACATCACTTATTTTACTATATTCTCTAAAATTTCCTTCGATTTGAAAAAAATACAAAAATTCCTACTTAACGCGAAGTCGGAAGTCACTTTACGCAATGTATTGGTTAGATACATCACTTTACGCGATGTATAGGTCGGAGACATCACTTTACGCGATGTATCAGTCGAATACATTACTTTACACAATATATCATGACATACATGATGTATCGGGACATTACTTTACGCGATGTATCAGTCATATACATCACTTTATGTGATGTATTGGTCGAATACATCACTTCACGTGATGTATCAAGATGTTACTTCATGCGATGTATCAATTGGATACATCAATTAACGCGATATATTGGGACATATGCGATATCGGATCGTTGAGTGATGTATCCGAAATATAGACGCGATGTATCAAGACGCTGAGAGATCTATCCGAAATAAAAACACGACGTATCGAGATGTATCCAAATTCCACCAAATTTAAGGAATTTTTTTAATTTGAAAAAGAATAAAAATAAGATGTAATAAGCTCTTTAACCATAGGAATCCACTATGAGATTCCTGTAAAATCTACTAAATAGAACCATCATATAGCAGAAGCAAATGTTGTGACTTGTGAATTGTGAATGTGATGATGGATGAAGAAAAAGAAAGGCTTGTGGACCCCACAATTTATTGTTATTGCATTTTTATATTTATTAGAGAAAAGACATAAAGACACAATCAAAGTTGTTTCGTATTTGCATAAAGACATCTTAACTTTCAAAGTGTCTTATCACCCCACAAAACTATTTAATATCGTTGTAAATGGGCCATTTTGACCCATTCCCTCGTCTGGGTTGTTACCACGCACATGAGGCGCGTCATTCCGTGTTTTCACTGCCATGGACCAATTTAAAAGTGCCACGTGTCATTTTCTTTCTTTATTATTAATTATATAATCAATTTATGTCATCTTCCCCAATTTTAAACCCAAAATAGCCCTAATTTTTTGATTTCATGGTTTTTTCCATAGCAAGATCAACCTGTAACAACGAAAAACTATAATATCCTAACAATATCTTAACAATGGCAACAATAGGAGCTCGATTCCAACACTTTTACAAGAAAATTTTAATAATCCCTAAAATCATAATAATAAAAAAAAGAGAAGATTTTTATCATATGATGTAGAGCCCTAACATGTTAGACCTTCAATCTCCAAGAATCTTCACGAAGACACATAAACAACAAGATTATCAACAACAACACAACGAGAAAACTTTTCTATTTCTTTAGATTTTAGGGAAAGTTGAGAAATAAGAAAAGAAAAGGAGAAATGACTTTCTTCAAAGAACAGGGTCGGGTCGGATCTTTTCTCATCATAGGGAGTGCGCTACACGCGCCACTAAATAGACGAGGGAATGGGTCAAAATGGCCCATTTACAA